TTACCTTGTTTTAGCACCTCTGGCTATTAGCAATTTAGCAGTTTCTGGTCCTTTGCTCTAAGTATGATACCTTTGACATAGGTGTGTAAAATAAGTACAAAAAATTGTGTAATCTTTTCTTTATACATATTCTTGTTCTTGTAGGTCTGATATCTTGTATGGTATTTGTGTTTATGAGCAAGGTGTCAGGAAAGCAGGGCAAAATCCAAGTCTGCTTTTACTCTCTGGGCCATAACTGACTGTCAGTTGTAACTACTGTGGTGCATATTTTAGAATAAAGTGCCATGTCATAAACTTGCATAAAAAGGAGCTACGAGATCTCAGTCAGAAAGATCTCCCCCAGTTTCATCATTTCTGTCTCCTCTGTTTCAGACATCCAGGACTGTAAAGTTTCTGAGCACATTTCTCAGTGCTTGATCTGCCTGCCTTAGTCTTTCATCAGTAACACAAAAGATACTGTAGCTATAGCAGAGAGAGATAGATCGTATTTCAAAGAGCTGCTTTACAAACCAAATCACCCAAAAGCACTTCGTCTTGCCTGCCTCCTGTTTGGACCGCCTAATAAAATGGCTCCTTTCTCTGACAGTTTTATTCGTAGCACTGGAAGGTTATCTGCACACCCATTTTTTCTTCCTGTGAAAATCAATTTTTGTCCATGTAAAAGTCCCGGCATATTATGAAATTATTATCAAACAAATCGTTGCTTTAAGAAATGTCGCTGTTGATACTGATGCCTCTCCTCTCCCCTAGAGTTTTTTATGGCTCTTTTTAAAATTTAGTCTTTTTTTTTTCCTCAGCTCTGTCCAGTGTAGTCTGGCTTTCATGTCTTCTGTCTTGAAAATGAAGCCTCTCCATGGAATATACTTGGTGATGGGAACAGTGCTGCCCGTGGCAGTGGAGTTGCTGCTGCCTTTGACCTGAATGGACTGTTGAGTCCGTGATTCACTCATCCCTGCCTTGAACACTTCCAGGGATGGGGCATCCACAGCTTCTCTGGGCAACCTGTTCCAGTGCCTCACCACCCTCTCCAGGAAGAACTTCTTCCTGATATCTAATCTAAACCTCCCCGCTTTCAATTTAAACCCGTTACCCCTTGTCCTGTCACTACAGGCCCTTGTAAAAAGTCCCCCCCAGCACCCTTGAAGCCCCTTCAGGTACTGGAAGGCTGCAATAAGGTCTCCCCGGAGCCTTCTCTTCTCCAGGCTGAACAAGCCCAACTCTCTCAGCCTGTCCCCATAGCAGAGGTGCTCCAGCCCTCTGAGCATCTTCCTGGCCTCCTCTGGACTTGCTCCAACTGGTCTGTATCCTTCTGATGTCCATTTAAGTCTATTCCTCTTCTCTGCTGGGCACAGGATTGCTCAGCTGCTGCGGATGATTTCTTGCTATGTGTTTTGGGATGAGGCTGAAATAGTCACGTTCACCTTGTGTAGTCATTTAGCAGCTGTCAGATAGTACTGACTTTTGGGTAATTACAGACAGGCCCCGATGAAGGGATTCTTTCGCCTTTTTTCTGTTCCACCAGGTCATGTTCATGGGGCCTCGCTTCTCACATATTCCTAGTGGCAGGTAGCTACCATGTGTGGTGTAGAGAGGAACTGGGTGATAAGTTAAAAAAAAAAATTAACCTATACAGTATCTTGCACAAATGTATTATTTTTTCCAAATGAAAATAGAAATATAAAAATATTTTCTGTTCATTATTTTATTACATTTATGTTTCATTTCTGCATTTTTCTGTAAAGAGTAATTAGCTGTTCAGGTATTACTAGATTAAATGGAGAAATAAGGTGATAATGCAGGATACAGAGATTTTGGCTATCTTCACTTTTTTTTCTGCTTCATGTTATGCACACACAGAATAGAAAAAATAACATCATGTCCTATGTACTTAAAGTATCCAGTTTCCATAATGAGGCTCTTGTTTGTTCTTAAATCTTGGAAATCTGATTTAAGAGAAAAGCTTAATTGGCAATAAGAGCTTTCATTCGTTGTATATGGGTTTATAAATTCCTTAGAAGCCAGAATCACAGTTAGATCTGCCCCTGTCCTAATTAAGCATTACAGATGTGTACTGCAGTATATCAGTATATTTTGAGGGGGGGATCCAACTCTTTATATTTTTCTTTTTTTTTTCTCTCTCTTTTTTTAATGAAGAAGAGAAAAGGTCTCTTTGGACCTAGAAAAATTTAACAATTTGCTGTAGGATCCATTGTTGTTTGTGTAGAGAGGCATTTGCTGCTAATAAATCCTTGCACTTCTGAGGCACTTCCCAGGTGAGACCCTTGCAGCATCCCACAAATAGGAAATGAATTTCCTCATGGAAACACATTTTTTAAGGCTAGAAGTTGGTGAACTCAAAAAAAAAAGGCCGTGATTCAGCAGTTTTTACCATCATGGACGATTTTAACATCATAGTTTCTTCTAAGGCAGTAAACAGGATTTGAGTCAGCTTAATTGCATGTTGTTTACATGCAATGTTTGCAGTAATATTTTAGCATTTAAAATAGAGTGAACTGTATTTTACATACGTACATCTAAAGTTTCTATCACAGTACTGCCATCTACCTTTACTTTTAACATAGAAGTCTGAAGGTGTTTTAGGTGAGAGCCTTTTCTCAGGGTTTTTTTGTGTGTGTGGTTTGTGGGGGTTTGTTTGTTCGTTTTCTTGTCAGAAAAGTTGAGGTGAAGCTATTTCCTTAAAACAAGTTTTATTAAACTGCTCAGATATTGGATCCATTTCTGTGCACAGTTGCAATGGGTTTTGTCAAAAGAAAGCAGTTTTAAATGGTCAAGATAATAATGATGGTATCCTGCTTAACTCAGTAGTGCAGGTATTGGGCAGCTTCAGGACCAGTTTGGAAGTTATTTAATATGTTGATCAGTATGAGTCACTATATTATATTTTCTGTTCCTGTTTACTGAAGCTGTGCATGTTGTTCTTCTGTCTAATGTACTGTAGGGTTTTATTATACCATTTTTTTTGAGAATGCTGGACAGTCAGTTGCCTTTACCTTGGCACAGCACCAAACCCAGATACATTCTTTTTTGTTGTTGTTGGCTTCATGATGATTTATTGGTGTGCCCCTTCCAGGGCAATAATTGTCAAGCTGCTTGTTTTTGAAATGACTTTCCTGGACAAGATAAACATAGTTCTGTTTTAAAAGTGTCTTTCTAGAAACTGCAAAAACACTGATTTAGATAATGTTATGCTTAGCTTTGGATTTCAGCATATCGGACTCTTGACCACCTCATTCAGAATTTGAAGCATGAATATAATTCATGTGATATTATTATCAAACTGAAACCAGAGAAAAGTTTCAGTTCAGGAAAGATGTGTACAGATGTAAAGATGTATTTCAGTATTCTTTTGAATTGGGGAAGGTTTACCTATATTATTTCAGGGTCAGTCGAGGTCTAACAGAAAATTCTGGTTTTATTGTGTGTTGGTAAATCTCTCTCGTTGATATGTAGTCATGCACAGGGCTTTTCTATCCTTTCAGTTGTCCCCTAGGGAATAATCACCAAGAGGGAAAAGAGGATTTATACTTACTGTATCTATAGGAAACGTATTTTGCCTTCCATGAAAAACACCTCATGAAGTTGTGATGGTACCAGATATACAAATGAGATCCCTGTCGGAGAGACTTAAAAGGCTAATGACAGAGAGGAGCTGACTATGGAGACCTAGACCAGACTCCAAGCTGGAACGGTCACACTGGTGAAGTGGGGATCATATCTCCTAAGCAAAGATCCAATGCATGCACTTTCTACGGTGTCTTGAGGGGTAATATATAGAAGGGCCCTCAGCACTTTGTTTGGACCCTGCTCCCCTTTGTGGTACCTGCCCTGTCTGTAGCTCTTTGGAGCATGGACCTACTATCCCCTTTTTTTTGCATCATTTAACATAGAAGGGTTAATTCTTGGATGGCTTCTCAATTCAAAAAAAAAAAAAAAATCAATGATGGTAAATTATTGTGCACCCACTGAGGTGCAGCCATTTATGTACACTACCTAAAGATACAGTCCACTACATTTAAGGGCAATGTGCCATTTAAACTCATTATTTACAAACAAGTATACCTCTGTGTGGAAAAATAAAGAATATGTGCACATTAAAAAATGTTACATAGAAACAAAGGTGAAATAAGTGGTACTCTTATGCTCATTATTGTTAGATTTGCTAACCTAACATAATTTCATTTTCAGAATGCTATGATTTTTTAACACAACTTGTCTAGTTTTCTTACGAATCTAATTCAAATGTTAATACTTTGTGAGGCAAGAATGTGTAATCATTCCAGCAATTAATATTCAGAAATATAAGTAAAATGTGGCTTGTAGAAGGGAACTGGAGACTTGAGTAGACCTGACATAATACACTTTTTGACCCCTGTGGCTGCATGCCCAAAACCTTGGTGAACTGAAACAGCAGTGCTATATGGAGGGTTAAGCGATGGTGCCTATTGAGTCTCTGTTCTGTGAGCTCTAGTGCAGAACACAGCCCCTCAGTCAAGATACCCACTGACTGGGTATATGGAGAGCAATCGGGCTTTTAATTAAATGGGCTACAGGTAAAGCTTAAAACTACTGTATGTGTTCTGATACATCTGTTCAGATATGCAATGAAGTCTGAAATAAAGCCTCGATGCTTTTTATTTTTAAAGTGTTTTTCCAAATATTTTTCTTGTGCTGAAGAAAATGCAGAAAATTTTGCATTTTTGCCTTACTGGTGTGCCTCTTAGCTGCAGGATCAGAGTTCAAGTGATACAGTCACACTTAGAATTAAAAGTAAATATTGTTAAATAGGGGTGGGCTACTGTCCTTGGAAGTTTGTAATTAAAAAGTCAAGGAGCTGAGTGGCCCAGATCATGCATTTTAATTAAAGAGACGAGGGGTTTCTTGCCACTTAAACACAGAAAATCAGAATATCTTTGGGTTTTTGCACTTTGGTAATATGTATTTGTGTTGCCTGAAACTTTGATTACCTCATTCCTTTGTAGTCATGAGACACAGACAACCTGTTGGGATCATCCTAGAATGACTGATCTCTTCCAATCCTTAGGTGAGTGCATTTCTTAAAATAAACCATTCTGTGATGCTTATTCCATGAGAAAAAGCTACATTTGTATGCTGACCACCTCTGAGTTGCCATGAACTGTGTGCAACAGAACATTTCCCACCTTGCAATGAGATGCACTTTGCACAGAACCTGCTGCCTTGATCACGTCATGTGTATTGCCGTTCAGTAATGTTAACTATGAGTAACATGCTCGGACTGTGCACTAATACAGTATCTTGTTTATTTCTTTTAAATCCTTGAGGGATTGTCCAGTGGTGCAGGCTGTCTGCATGTTTAAAGCAGGATGCCAGTCTGCAGGGAACTAATTTTTGTAATAAATCAGAGCAGTACAATTTCAATAAAGGCTAGACCATGTTATGGTACAGCTAGTTCAACATGCCCTGCTAACACCTACATTTGCTGTGAAATCTCACTTTCTAAGGAGCAAAAGGGTAAAATATACTGTTAAGCGAGGAAGAATTTTACTATACCCATCAGTTTCTAAAATAAAGCTTATGGCTATTTGACTGTTCCTTTCAAAGCACTGCTCACAAATTCATGGCATAGAAATTACGGTTTAAAAAGCCATTTTTTCTCTTACTGTGACCTTTTCTGCCCTCTGTTTCCTGTATGTTTTCAGACGGAGTTGTAAATTATTTGAGAAACATGCTGTATTTGAGCACTTGTCTGGAGACTACTTAACATTGCATAATATGTGTGTACAACTCTCTTGGTACATGCAATACATAGAATATAGGATCAGGGTGTCTGGTGTGCCTGTCTCTGAAGGCCCTGGACAGAGTCAGGAAGCTTTCCCTGCAGGTGGGTTGGACTGAGGTCCAAACTTCTCAGTTTGTTGTATTTGTTCTGATATATACTGTTAATGCATGGCAGAGAAGAGAAGGGCTGTTGGAATTCTTCCAAAACATGACACTTTATGTGTAAAGGAAATTCACGGACTCTCTTTTTAGAACTGCTCGTATTTCTGTTCTGCTGTTTCAGCTGACCTGAACAACGTACGCTTCTCTGCCTACCGTACAGCCATCAAAATCCGAAGACTGCAGAAAGCACTGTGCTGTGAGTTTGGCCTTCGAGACAAATTGTTTCTCTCCGCTACTTGGGGAAGGGAGGGTCAGCTTAAGTCTGATAACATTAATGTTTAACAAGGGACCAGATACATCCCTGACAGATTGTCGATCAAGAAAATGTCAGGTAGAATTGCCAACGGTAGATGGTGTTACTGCAAATAAATAAAAGCAATTAATGAAAAAGGGGTGCAGCAGGTAAGTTGAAACCATATGCTTGCTAAGAATACTTTGGGAAGTGATGGGAAAATAAATACTGGACTTATGATTATTGCATACTCTTCCTGATACAAGCTGATGCAAACCAGTGTGAAATTATGTGAGCTGAAATCCTGACCTTTGACATAAAATCAGATATTTTCTTACATTTAAGAGAGTTCTATTCCATTTTTTGTTTACTGCTGCTAGAAATAACTTGGAAAATATTCCTCCATCCCACAGAGAATGTCTTGCTGTGTGAATTCCAGTTAAAGAGGGGTTCAGGCCACTGAAGGGGTGAGGGGAAAGGACACAGATCTGTATAGTTGGTTAGGGGTAGTTGACATTGCTGTATATTTTAATCACAAAAAGCTACTAGGACAAAACAAAGTACTATTGTTAACAATAATATATGTGTAGATATATATTATGGATGTGGGGAAGGGTCTTAAATTTGGATAGAAAATAATAATGCATTTAATATGCACATTGGATGTTCTGCCCAGACCTTGTCCCTGTTCTTAAGCAATTTAATAATTCAGCCACAAGCTGTATATTTTAATCACAAAAAGCTACTAGGACAAAACAAAGTACTATTGTTAACAATAATATATGTGTAGATATATATTATGGATGTGGGGAAGGGTCTTAAATTTGGATAGAAAATAATAATGCATTTAATATGCACATTGGATGTTCTGCCCAGACCTTGTCCCTGTTCTTAAGCAATTTAATAATTCAGCCACAATCGACTCTGAAGAGTACATAGATTTTAGCAGGAAAGGATAGATGGCTGCTAAGTAGTCTCAGCAGTCTGAACTACTTCATTTCCAAGGTTCATGTTTGTATCTCCTATTTTTTGTTCTATATGTGCTAGGTATTTAAAACAAACAAACAGACATCAAACAAAAACCCAACAATCATATCACAATGATGGTTTAATTCAGCAGCAAACTGCATGTCTACTGTGTTCAAAACTTAGCAGCCCCAGAAGAGATGTATAAGGAGGTCTTTTCCTGGTCTCCGGACTTAGGACTTCTCCAAGTCACACAGCAAGTACCACACTGCGATTCTGGACTCTTGCCTGAGTCTCCTGTGCCAAGCAAACTCCGAGTACTCTTTGGAGTCGTCCTGCCACTGGTATTTCTGCATTGTCCATGAGAATCGGGATGAGAAGAAGAAAGGTGGTGCTTTCATGGGGGAGCAAAACTAGCTCAATGTTTATTTTATAGAAATGGGATTGAACTAATAGCTTGAAGTAATACAGAACTGGTTTACATTATAGAGAGAGGCAAAACATGAAGACAAGAAAGATAACTGAAAGGGCAAAAAGCTTAGAAGGAAGTGAGATTTTGTTAGAAGGCAGAGAAGAAAGTGTGTGGAAGAAAACTAGCTGAAACATAAGATCAGGGGAGATTAAGGTGTACAAAAAAGAAAAGAGTGCAAAAAATTCTGTCATAGAGATGATGAGAATATGAATTTTAAAAATTATTAGGACTATGAATGGAAAATAAAATACAGAAAAACACACATCTACCAGAAGGAAAATAGAATGAAGTGGAAAAAAAAAAAAGAAACTGGACACTTATGGAAGGTGAAATGGGTTGTGAATGAGCTCCAGACTTCAGACCTTTTGAAAGGTCTTGGCAAAAACTGGTATAATAATGTTGTAGAACATTACCAGATTTTCTTGTTTAAACTCAGGAGTCCTTGCTGTTGAAGGAGTTTTCAGTCCTGAAGAGTGTACAGCACTGCAGTTTTAGTAGGAACACAAGAAGGGCAAAGCCATCCTAAAGATAGAAGCAAGGAAGGAGTTCCACGGGGGGGACCCTTCCCACCCTCTAGGTGGTTAGTTTTCCTTCCAGCCTAGAAGGCAGCAGTCTGATCTTGGCAGTAGCTTCTTGTCTGGACTTCGGATACGCGTTATACCAAACGAAGCTGCGTCTGAGACGGTAGCTAGCGACTCCAGAAGGCTAGAGTGCTTCTCTCCAGCAGCACGGGCTCTTGGGAGGAGTGCCTCTCACCACTTCATCATACGCAAAGCTGGTTTCTCACAGAATTTCAAATCAAGTTCGAGTTCTTGGGTTCAACATCTTACCTTTGTGAAAAAGCAGAACCTGTCCTTTGAAAGATTGTCTGATGGTATTGTAAGAAAAACTGCCTGTCTTTGACACAGCCTAGAGCTGTTCTGCGCAAGAGATGTGCCCCCACCCAAGGCCATAGTTTCATCTCCCGGAAAGACTAAAGAGCATTATGAGCTTTCTGTTTATCAGTGCACAAGATATAAAGTATGCATCAACCTCTACCTAAAAACCAAAAGCAAAGCAAGAAACCAGAAAGCAAAGTAAGACTCTCCGTGTGTGTGCTGCACCCCAGAGAAGAGTGAAAAAACAGACTGCACATGATGAATGCTAATCATGCTGCCTGTTTCTGACAGGCATACAGATTGTCTAGCAGCCTGTATAGAACGAACTTCGCTTTCATTACTTCTAATAAGCTTTGAGGAGGAACATACTTCCAGCTCTTGCTTTTACTGAAAAATATATCCATTTCTGTAATAACTGCAGTAGTTAGCTTTCCTCATTCACAGATTTCAGAAGTGCCCTCCTGTCAAAGTGGATATTATCTCCAGTTTCAGGGGAGGGAGATGGAAGGAGGACAGAGGGAAGTAGTAAGAAGTAAAGAGAATATTCCAGTTTGAAAGAGCCAGGAGTAAAAACCTATCATCTCTGCAGATCCAATCTGCCTCATTATTTATGAAGCTGTTTGCTTGCTCCAGCTCTCTGTTTCATGGGAGGAGACAACAGCCAAAAAAAATCTTTGTCTTTATTACACTCACATATTGGACTAGGGATTGATATAATTTGTCAGAACGCAACACTGTGGGCTTTTAAGAAAGACATTGCAGATTATCCTCAAAGATAAATGCTACCAGAATTTTCTGTCTCTAAACAGGAACTCATTATGAGCTGGCACAATTTTAAGACCACCTTCAAAAATATAATCTGTGCTGTCTTTTTGTCACATTTGTTTAGCTGAATTTTTTTTTTTTTTCCCCATGGAGCAAGTCAAATTCCCTTTGCCTGTGACGATTCTCTGCCTGATTCTGTCCCATGAATGGCTGCTGAGAGCCAAAACACAGCATGTGCTAGCACTTCCTCTCTGAGGAAGAAGAGGGTGGTTAAGCCTTAGCTACAATTCTTTTCTTGACTCGTATTTGTTGATGATTTTGTTTTGAGATAGGTTCATTTTCTATGCCCTTGCTATTCGTTCTCTGGTCCAAGTTAAGTCTTCCATTATATTTCCGGTAATGTTAACTGTGGATGGTTTTTAAAGGTGTTTGGATGTGGAATGCTTCAGAAAGGCTTATGTGCCAAGGCAAAGGAAAATGTCAAAACAAATCACTAGAAAATCAGCTGTTTGTGAACTGTAAAATGTGACAAATTGCTGTCACAGCCACAGCGTGTGTATGACGGCAAAGACCTTTTTGGGGAGAACGCCGAGGGCACAGCTGGACCAGGATGCAGTGTCCCACTTGCATATGATAGATTTTGACTTTGCAGTGAGGATTGGAAACACAATATTAGTGATGTACAAGCAGGTTCAGGAGTACCTAATTTGAGAGCTGCACTTTGGAAAACCTTGCTGATGCCAAATGCGTCTTCTGAGTCTTTGGCCATTAAGTGTTAAGACACGAGGTTCTGGGGAAATTAGTCCCTCCCACTTCCCCAACTGTCCTTTAGAAATGGGAGAGTTGTGTTTCATCTTGTTCTGTTTTTTGGAAGATAAATTCCTTCAGAGAGTAATGTATATGTGTATGTACCTACGTGTATTTATTTTGCAGGAAGTTGAGAAAGGTTGCAGGTTGGAAAGACCAAATTCTTACCTTCTCTGTGTCAGGCTATTTGGGCAGACATACTGAGAGCACTTTCCCACTGTAGCAGAAGAATGGGACCAGAGAGAGTACCCTGTGTTGCAGTTGTACTGGGCAGCTATACAGCACCAGGTCCTGACCATAATATTTTATTCTTGTGCAGCATACTTCAGCTCATTTTCAAGAAATTATATTGCCCCAGATACTGAAGTGTAGTACTGGAAGGAAAAAAAGGAACAAAACCACCATGTATATTCAGAATTTCTGTCACTGAGCTCCTCTGGGTGATTTAAAATTTAAGAATGCCAAAGGAATATCAATTGCACAAGGCTAAAGAATGAACATTAAGGTACACCTGACTGAAAGCGAGAGCCGTGTAGACTTCTCTCAGCCATCCGGTCTTTTGCAGGAACTGCCATCATGCACAAGGGCTTTCTAATACAAAAGCACCATAGCAATGCCTGCCCCTTTGCTGTGGGGTTACAGCAGCCTCAAATTTGCCATTAGCAGCTGCAGGTCATTACTTGCTCCTGAGGCAGTCACTCACACCTGCTTGAACTCTGCTGAAAGATGTGGTTTATGTTTATAGTTTTCCTTTGGGAAAGCCTTCTTGCTGTGGAAAGGACCCTTGTGTTCTTTTGTTGGTTAACAGCAGGATCGGTCATTGAGCACATTTGAGCAGATGCAGTGGTACTGCAGAAGAGAACTGAAAGCTGCGTATGGCAGGCTTCATGCCTGCCACGGCAAGCGAGTCTCAGGTTAGCTTTTCCCAATCTGCATAAACACCGTTCATTTTACAACTTTCAGAAATAGAACTGGAATGAGAAAATAAACCCTCTTTACTCCAGCTCAGTCCAGGAGCTCTGCTAGTGGGTAGACCTTGCCATGGCAGGATAACTGCCTGTACCCACAGTTCATTCAGCCAGGTGAGTGCTGAAGCAAGCAGGGATGGACTTAGTCCCCTCTGGTTGTTTAAAATAAATGGTGTCATCCGAAAGTGTAAGCTCTGCTTAATTTACATTAGTACAGCAGCAGAGTTTCCTTTTAGTATGAAAACACTTCGAAGTCCTCCTCCCGGTTCCCTCGAGAATCCTTTGGCAGAAATGTGAATGTGAGACCTTAATGCCAGCAGACCAAGCAGTGAAGTTAGCTGGCTTACTCCAGTGTCTGTTCACTTGCTGGTTTCAGTGCAAGGGCGGTTATGCTAAAGCAAGCCAAGTGGGCTACAACTTTCTGGCATTCTGAAGCATTCCAAGTTTTCATTGGCTTCAAAAAGGGGCAGGTGCTGTCAGTCTTTTAGGAAGCGCCTCACCTGCTTTTAGCCAAGCGTTAAGGACATCACGTAAACAGACTGGAAAAAATACCACCACCAAACTGGTTGCAATAATTTTCAGGGGTTTTTTCTCTCCCTCTGTAGGTTGTGAAAGAAAAGCATGAAAAGTGGGCATCTCTCCTGAGTGCAATATTTATGTGATTGGGTAGCATGTTATCGTTTTGCACCTGGCTTCACCCCCCTGCCTCCACCCCTCAAGAAGATGTGCATTGTGGCATGGGGTGTTTTTTATCGTTGTGTGTTTGATGTTTTTGGTTTGGTTTGTTTTTAAATATGCCTGTAGCCTTTTCCAGTGCATTACGTATTTTCTAGCTACTGTAGAAGATTATGCTGCAGTGTACTGCCAAATACTTTGGCTACCTCAGGTCAAACTAGTGGCAAGGTGTTTTGCTGCAATTAGCAGTCTGCCTGTTTGGTAAACACGTGGCTGGCATTTGTTTGCAATCCCAAGAGGTGTGCTTTTAGAAAAGAAGAAAAAGAAAATAAAAAGTAAACAAATGTAAAACGTCGGAACATCTGGTGCTGTAAAGTTAGAACAGAATGTACAGATGTCAGTGAGGGAGAGAAAAAGTCAGGACTGTGAGGCACTGTTTCTCATTTTACAGTTATGTTAGGAAAGGTAGATTGAAGAAATGGGACTGGGAATCTAACCTTCTTTTGGCCTGTAACCTTGTCTTTTGGTAGATGCTCATTGAGTTCTTGACAGCATTGCTCATAGTGGTTAGTGTTGTCTTGCTCCTGCTTTTTCCTGCTGTACTTATTTCCCAGCCCAAGCTAGACTTACCTGAGTTGCAGACTGCCCTCGTGGGGTCCTTATTTAATATTATTGGTGCAGAGCAATTTTCAGCACATCTGAGATTGTCATGTTTCATTTCCTTTGAGAGAGGGCATTTATAGTGTAAATGTGTTACTGGCTCTCCAGAAACAGATTGTATGAGCTCAAAATATACTTCAGCTTCATGTTGTATACACTGTAGCAAGCATACTGATATATTGCAACTATTTTTTTTGCTCGTCTTTGCTTCTGTCAAAAAATGTCACTGAGGAGTATACCACCCTTTGACTTATATTATTCTTCCTTATTTAACAACAAAATAAGTTTCCTCTTTTCCACTTTGTTTTGCAAAAGCAATTAGAAGACCTCACTGACAGCTGATTTTTTTTCATCATGCAAAACTCAGGATTTCACAATCTCAGTCACATTTGTGTGATGTTGGGGGAATAATCCTTGTCACCTCTAGGATATCCGTAGCATCGCCACCTGCTTATAGAAAGCATGCTGTCATAAAGGAGATCAAAATATTTTTCATGAAAGCTTAGCATTTTGTGTTCTGGAAAACTGCAATAAATAATTTCCCTGTGTCCCTCCCTACTTTCTTTAAAGCCTTAATTTAGCAACCAAATAATTTAGCTGCAGTTCGGTATTCAGGCCTCAGTACATTCCTACTGCAGTTAAGAGAATGTTGCTACCTACGAATTTGCTTTGCTTTACGTTTAATCAAAAGTAAGAGTCATTTAATCGGTCTGGGGCCGGTCTGTTGGAAGGAGCTCTGGGGAAAAGGACCTTGGAGTCCTAGTGAACAACAGGATGACCATGAGCCAACAGCGTGCCCTTGCTGCCAAGAAGGCCAATGGCATCCTGGGATGCATCAAGAAGAACATGGCCAGCAGGTTGAGGGAAGTTATCCTCCCCCTCTACTCTGCGCTGGTGAGGCCTCACCTGGAATACTGTATCCACTTCTGGAGCACCTTCCCTATGAGGAAAGGCTGAGAGAGCTGGGTCTGTTTAGCTTGGAAAAGAGGAGGCTGAGGGGGGATCTTATCAATGCTTATCAATATCTAAAGGGTGGGTGTCAGGAGGATGGGGCCAGGCTCTTCTCAGTGGTGTCCAGTGACAGGACTGGGGGCAATGGCCATAAATCAGAAAACAGAAGGTTCAAGCTGAACATGAGGAAACACTTCTTCCCTATGAGGGTGACAGAGCCCTGGAACAGGCTGCCCAGAGAGGGGGTGGGGTCTCCTTCCCTGGAGACTTTCAAAAGCCGCCTGGACTTGTTCCTGTGTGATCTGCTCTAGGTGATCCTGCTCTGGCAGGGGGGTTGGACTAGGTGGTCTCTAGAGGTCCCTTCCAACCCCTTCCACTCTGTGAATCTGTAATGCGATTCTGCTGTATGGTAAATGTGGAGGGCCCTCTAAGCCCAGTGGAATCCCAGTGTGTGTACATCAGAAGTTAGGATCCTCTAATTACACAGAATACTTCAGTGGCTTTTTTAATGTTCTGAGTGATACAGGGCCGTTATGGTGTTCTTGTTGATTTGTTTTTTTAAATACACAGTACCAAAATGCTGTTGACTTCTAACAGACAACAACTGTTCACTATAATGTCGCTAAATGAAAGCTGCTACCTGGCTAATTGCCTGCAGTGTTTGGTACGATATGCACATGAACAACTATTGTGAATTCTATGTTTGGGCATCTGTATTCACACTTTCTTTTTTTTTTCTTTTAAATCACCTGTTGTTAGTGGACCTGTTAGACCTGAGTACAACAAGTGAAGTTTTCAAACAGCACAAGTTGAGTCAAAATGACCAGCTGATTGGTGTCCAGGATGTGATCAGCTGTCTCACTACTATCTACAGTGGGCTTGAAGAGAAACACAAAGATATGGTGAATGTTCCTCTCTGTGTAGACATGTGTCTTAACTGGCTACTCAATGTATACGATAGGTAAGTAAAAAAATTTTTATTCACGATGTGTACCCTAGGAATTTAATGTAGTTATATCAAACTATAATCCATGGAAACAGAAATGTTAAGATTTGCACGTGACTTACGAAAAATGCTCGACTTCCAGGCTGGTTGTATATTTTCTCTGAGGTACTTTGTTAAGTAAATGTTCATGGTAATAGAAAAATGATAAAACCTTGAGAAGCTCTTTAGTAAAAAGTCATATCTTTTGATAATTTTGACTCAGTAATGAAAGTGCAGTTACTTGAAATACCAGGTTTCTTATGCCGTCCTGCTCAGATACACATTACATTGCTTACCAAAGTAACTGAATACGTTGCTTTAGATGTGTTCCTACTGCAAATGTTCTAAATTGCCCAGATTGTTTGGCATTCGTGCCAGATCCTATTTCTGCCACAGGTGGGGGCAGTGTTGTTGTTTACTTTACACTTAGTAACCTTCATGCCATAACCCTGGCTGAGCTCCCTGTCCTGAATGCTCTGTTGAGTGGTGGTTGTTTTGATCTCAGTGCTAAAGCCTTTCTGATTTTGGAGGCTCAGTGGTGTTATAGTCCTGGCTCACTTCCAGCGCCTGAAGCTCCTGCCTCGTATCACTACTGGGTGCCTGTGCTATGTGGTCCACCTGTCCTGGTCCTGACAGCAAGGCTGTATGTCCCTGGTGGAGTGGGCGTCTGCCTCAACAGTGTTTCAGGGTGCTTGCAGTGAGAGCTCGTGGGTTTATTTAAATGCACGTCTGCTATTTCCAGGGAGAGCACTGAATCTCAGACAACATGAAAAAGTCCACTCCACCAGCCCCTTCTTTTGGCCAGTCCTTTTTGAGCCCCCAGACACTTCTTTCTTCTGCTGAATGTCAAACTCTGCCTTCTCTGCCCTGCCCTGCACTATGTCAGCCTGCAGGACCCACAATCAGTATGTTTTTATTTATTTGTGCTTTTGAGTCATGAGTTTGTTGCTCATTTGTGCTGTTTACTATTCTTATTGCTTAGTGCTGTTTACTATTCTTATCTCCCTTATGTAGTAAAAACTGTGAAAAGACTTGATTTCCGTCAGCTCCTCCATTCCCTATACTGTATCTCCTTACACTGCTTGAGCAAAGGCATTTCAGGGCTCTTGGAGCCCATCCCTGGATGTCTTCAAGGCCAGGCTGGATGAGGCTTTGAGCAACCTGGTCTAGTGGAAGGTGTCCCTGCCCATGGCAGGGGGGTTGGAACTAGATGGTCTTTAAGGTCCCTTCCAATCTAAACCATTCTGTGATTCTACGATTAACTAAAGACATATAATTTCTTTCCTTTTTCCCCATTTGAAGATGGAAAGAGAAAAAGTATTTCTTGAGTAATGATGGAAATTCTTATACCTGGCTTTGCAAAGAAGAGTTGTTAACTTCTTGATGTATACATTATTTTCACTATGTTCATTCACTTAATCAGTGCCAAATTCTAACAATTTACAGCTTTTTTGCCTTTTTTTCCCCCCAGAGGATTACACACCAATAGTCCTACATTTTGTGGATGTTTTGGGTGTTCTTGGTGGGTGGGTTTTTAATATTTTTTTAATTTATTCTTATTTGAAATAGTGTGGTAGGGGAGAGTGATGGAGGGAACAGCGTACATAAGACCATTTATCATTGATGTGCTCACTATTATGCTTTGGCATTCGAATATTGCTGTTTAATATTATGACATTTCTGTTACTTGGTCTGATCATCATTACTCTTGGGAAATTGGAGACCACATCAAATAATGACTGGAACTTCTTCCTGCAGTTATTTTTATTTTGCAGAGCTCTGTGTTGTGCATGAATAAACACATCACTTGCAAATAGAGCAGTAGATCAAGTGGGTTGCTTAACTTAAATGCTATTGGTTATTTAGAATAAGAGACTTAATAATGTCAGAGAATTTTTTGTAGTTACTGGTTGGGTTTTTTTCAGCTTGATCAGAAATCCATATTTTCTTCAGCTTACCTTTGCTTCCAAATTTAGTTAGAAGTCAGTTGCTTAATCTGTTCATATTTAAAATGCAACAAACCTTTCTTTCAATAACATTTCCTGTTGCTCCCATTTCCCCTTGATTACTACGTTGAAAGCTTTAGTGTAGATAATTCTTCAAGCTGATGGAAGACTTTAATCTTCAGTCAAACTTTGAAAATAGAGGATGAAGGTTTTTTGAGATAAAATTACCTTTTATAGTATGTTTCCTTGCTCGCTTTTCAAATCCACTCCAGGGGGAAAAAAAAAAAAGCTGAAAGAAAAGGTACCAATTTTGAGCTGCCTTTTTTTTTTTAATTGACCTTTAGGAAGGAACTAATTTGTGTCTTGGCATTTCCATTGTTTATTGCACTGGTGTTATAAGTCTACAATGTTTCAAATCATTAAACTGCCTACAAAAAGCATCTGTTAGTCGCATGCTATTAACCTGAGATTTAATTACTGATTCACAGGTTGATGCAAACTGAGTAGCTCTTCAGACTTACTTACAGATGTCTTTTGCCCTTAAAAAGAACCAACTTATTTTTAGAAATAGTTGGTAAGTCTGTTATGTCAGAAAATACCAGAACCCATCAGGAATGATTCATTCTTCAAGCTGAGTAGAGGAGAGAAACATTAAATTTACTTGTTGACTTCTTCAAGGACTCAAAGGTTGTTCCAGGCAGCAGCATCTGCCCCTTAAACATTTTACAAAGTTAAAGTTCCTTGTTTGGGTTAGTTCAGAGATAAATATATATTTTCTTTTAATAAATTTTAATAAATATGTTCCATTTTACAAAGAGAGCTGTGAAGGAAATTGTTTGCTCTGTGAAATCATTTGGTTAACCCTGTGTTTTTATTGTCCAAAAGTAATAGCTGGTGGTTATTGTTCTGGGCTATATACTTTAAAATCTTCTAAAATCTCCAAAAGTCATTTATATGAAATGGACTGAGAGCTTTCAGAACTAATGAAATAACTCAACACCCCTTGAAATGAGTTGCTATACATGTACTAATTGTGGGGGATGACTCATTATTTCAATAAAATTACATGATGTCCATGAGGGAACTTTTACATGCACTGTTTTAAAAGTCTTGCAATGTTTATCTGACTTCTTGTATTTCAACTTCTAATTTATCTTTATTTTTGTGATGTTAGGATACTTTGATAATGCATTCTTTCAATTCCTTTGGTGCATTAGTTTAGGAAGGATATCTGTGGTACGGCACCTATGCTAACTTTTCCCTATGATCAAAGCTGTCATTCATGATCATTCTCTATAGACCAGGCTTTCCCTGAAGAGTTACGATTTTGTTACTTATTGTTGCAGTTATAAGCCTAGCAGATTCTAACACCAGATTGAGTTAATATCCCAGGCCTCACCAGCATGTTAAGTTCAGCAAAATGTGAACTTCTGGGGAATGAGAAAGATGAAAGACCTTCTTAGTCAACGTTAACTTTATGCCCTGGTTTTGATGGTAGCTGATGGAAATTTTCTGCATGTGCTCTGGTTGCATTCCCTGTGTTGATGATAGCTATCTTGATCCATAGTGGACTCTTGCAGGAACAGCTTGACAGGCTGTGATAGTAGTAAGCAGAGCTCTAGGAAGGACATGACCCTCTGTGGGGCATGAAGATAAACTCCTTTGACTCATCTGTGGTTGATCAGGTGTAGGCATCTGTGGAGATCTTCAGAGATCTACCAGGCTGCCTTCTGTTGCTGGGTTATGTAGATAACCGATGGCTGCTGTCCGTGGTAGTCCTTAATGTCAACATTAGCCAGGCTTGAGAGCTCTTTGACAAAAGTCAGAACTGAAGGGGACTCATTGTATTTCTCCACTTTTCCTTGGTACTGCCTGATGTTTCCATGCTGTTGCCCCCCATCTTTGGGAGACATAGGTTTCCTCTGGACTTATTACACATCTTGTTTTCTGTTTGCCACTCATTCTTATTCTTTATTCCTGTTTGCAATCTCTTGTTCTTAATCTTGTACTCTGTCTGGCAACTGTTTGTTATCTGGCTAACGCCTGTGTGCAGCTGTGTCCACCACCAGTGTTTGCCCCTTTGGCATTCGCATTGTTCACACAGTTAGGGAAAATGCTTGTATCTTATGTCAGCCTATGCCATTGTGATGCTACAGCATGCTTGCATACCATTGTTGTTAACAATAGTTTTGTACGCTGATATTCAGAAATCTAGTGTTAATTATGTCCTGGTTAGTACATATAACTTACAGGTGTCATAGGCCTCTCTTTTGACTATGATTTAGAATGTGTTTGCTGGTCCAAGGAGTTTGGGTCCTAATGCTGTATTAGGATGTCATTTAGAGAAAGGAATAAAGTTTGCATACAACAGTTGCATGATTATGAAATGGTTTTGGAAAACTAGCTAAACTCCTTTTCCTGGAAAGGCATACCTTCAGATAATTTTAACCCTGCCTGTCATAGATGTTTGAGCTGAAAGAGAAATGCTAGTTTTGGGATTTAGCATGCTGCTTTGCAGCTGAGATGTTCCTGTGGCCAAGCAATGCTAAACTGTATTATGTGCTTCACACAGAACTTGTGTGCCCAACATAGTGAGGTTGGGATCATAGTTGTTTCATTTGTTTGGGGTTCAGTTGTTCTGAGATTAGCAAGAGAACTCACTAGGCATGGCTCATGTCTATTGCCCCAGTTGTATGTGTGTTACCTGTTCTTACCTCTCTCTCTTGAATCCTCTGATTCCAGTATCCCCTGTGGTAAGATATAGGATAAAAGTGTTGCCCCTTTCTCTTCTCATACTACAGCCATTTCTAGCTCATCCTTTTTTTTCCTCATTTGCTTATGTTATTGTACAGTAGTGACAGCGACCAGTTTTTATATAAGGTAGCTTTTGATATTCTCTGCAGCTGTGTTGGATTTCTGAAACAGCTGAATAGTTTCTGTTTGCTTGGATGGAGAGTCCAAACTATACAATGAAGTTGTATGTGCTCTGATCCCAAAACAGCCTCTCTATCCATGCAGCATGGAACCCTCTCATGCTCCTGACCAAATGATCTAGTTGGCTGACTCCCCACTAAACTAGTCCTCTCTGTAACAGATGCTTTCAATTCTCCTACCATGCCTGGAAATGATGTGTACCTTTTTTTTTTTTTAATGCCTGTTTTGGCAATTTTAAAAGTTGAATTACTTCTGGGTTCTGTGCCACCTGCTGGCTGGCAGTGGATGAAGGTGCAACAGGGGGATCGTACCTAAGGCAGATAGGCCAGATCCTGCCTGGTGCATATGTAGAGACAACGGAGTCACCTAAGGGAAAAAAAGATTTCTTTATTTCCTCCTTCCCTCTCCCTTTGCCCACTAAAACAATAAAATTCCAGTTTATTCAGGGATGGAGAAAAATGTCAGCATCACTTTGTATTGCCTGGGCAAAGAGGGCTCAGGTATATCCAGAGGGACAAATGGACTTTAGTAAACAAGAAAAGCGATTCTGATAAGCAGGTATAATGATTTTGCCATTTTTCACTTGAAGATAGGTCAAGGTCAATTATGTACCATTTTTATACATCCTTTCAGTGTTGTATTCATGAAGAATGGACAACTTTGCTCTAAATGAGTTAATAGAGGTGTAATGGTTCAGACTTGCCTTCATCAGGACCAGAGTGAAAAATAGCTGAGCTGCTTAAAGTGGTCTTATCAACTGATTTTGTAGTGACAAGCATGCTTTTATTGCTATAGCAAATCTGAACAGTGTGCTGGCACTTAACTCTAAATACTTGACCCATACATTTTATATGAATTCAAGCATTAAAAAGTTTCCTGAACCTTCCCACTGTAAAGCGTTGATTTTCAGATGTTTGTACACACAGTGCAATTAGATGGTTGTGCTGCCATTCAGAGGCACCTTGACAGGCTGGAGAAAGGGGACAACAGGAATCTTACAAAGTTCAATGAAGGGAAATGTCGAGTCCTCCCTCTGGGAAGGAATAACCCCATACACCAGTACAAGGTGGGGGACAGCTAGCTGGAAAGCAGTTTTGCAGGAAAGGCCCTGGGAGTCCTGGTAGACAAGAAGTTGAACATGAGCAAGCAGTGTACGCTTGTGGCAAAGCAGTCCCCTGGGCTGCATTAGGAAACCCCTTCCCAGCTGATTGAGGGAGGTGATCCTTCCCCTCTACTCAGCACTGGTGAGACACACCTGGAGTGCTGGATCCAGTTCTGGGCTTCCCAGGACAAGAGAGACATGGATAAACTGGAGTGAGCCCAGTGAAATACCATGAAGATGATTAAGGACTTGGAGTATCTGATATATCAGGAGAGGCTGAGAGTTAGAACACTTCAACCTGGAGAAGAGACGTTTCAGGGCGATCTTATCCATGTGCAAAAATACCTGATGGAAGCAGCAGAGAAGATGGAGCCAGGCTCTTCTCAGTGGTGCCCAGTGACCGTACAAGAGGCTGTGGGCACAAACTGAAACACAGGAAATTCTGCTTAAACATACAGGAAAAAAGAGATTTTTTTTTTTTTTTTTTTTTTTTAATGTGGGGGTGATAAAACAGTGGCACAGGCTGGCCAGAGAAGCTGTGCATTCTCAGTTACTGAAGATACTCAAAACCTGACTGTATATGGTCTAGGGCAACCTGCTCTACCTGACTGAGCAGGGGCATTGGTCTAGATGATCTCCAGAGGTCCCTCCTGACTTCAGATATAGGTTTGGTGGAGGGATTTTGATTGTGTTTGTTGTGTGTTTTTTACTGTATATATAGTCCCAGTGCTACTTTTTTGCTGTTTCCAAGGAAAATGCTAGGGGAAATTACGTTGCTCTTTAAAAAAATTTAATGCTTCAGGCTTTGTAATTCTCTTTATAATTTATGGAGGAATTACTTTTTATGCGGAGGAAGTTTTTCACAGTCCCTTTAACAATCTGATGAAATCTGGAGAAGTTTGAAGCCTCCACATATGTGGTCTGACCTTTTAGCTGAAAAGATTTTGTGAGTTTCTACCTTTAACAAATCCTAGATTGAATCAAACCCATATGAATGTTCTGCTTTGTTTTTCCATTGAATACAAAATTAAAACACTGACAACCCTACCCAGGAAAGAATGAGGAAAGAACTTTATCAGGGTTGCAAAATGAGCCATTTACATGTTAAGGTGTGCCAGAATGATGTAGTGTCTGTGATTGAAGGAGGTAATTTGAAGCTAAGCTTGAATGTATAAGATAGGTGGCACTTTTATAACATTCTGGAAAATTGGGCCCTGATTTTCAAACTAGGCAGTAAAAGTAATGGTGGTTTTGATTAATTTAGCAATAATTTCTCTGCACCTCTGTTCCAGCTTGTGGAATGGAGAAGATAATGCTGTCTAGTCTCACTACATTAGGTGATGGTTGTGAAGACAAATGCATTAATATTTGTACGGCACTCAGCTAATTTACTGAGAGCCCAGGAGTAAATTAATAATTTTGTATTCAGCATAACATTTGTGAAGTAAATCAGACTACAGACCATATGTTGAATGGGTAGGACAGAAAAAGATATAACGATTCCAGGAGTAATTAAAAGATATATCACTTCTGTATGACATAAGGGACCAAAGTAATATTTGGGGTGATACTGATTTTAGTATTATCTTACTTGCTGGTGAAGAATGCAGCTAACCTTAAATGCAGGGGGTTGTGTATAATATATACAGTTTAACTATTATCCTCATGATTTTTTGCCATGTCTCATCTAAAGAGAAATTGCATCGTGTTTTTTGGTCTTTGAAAGAATTCATCAGATTTTCTAAGAACACATTTCTGCACTGATCTTTTTGACTTTAAAATTGTTCTTTTCCGTGTATCCTGGATTTATTGCTTTGGTATGTTTTTTGAACAGTGTTTGTCTTTCAGGTTTAAAATCACTTGCTTTGGTACCTACTTACCTGTTCTCAAGTTGCTTAAGTTTTGATGTATGTTTTTTTGGGGTTGAGCATTTGTTTCCTGTTGGACAAGATGAGACTGAAGTGACATTGCTTAAACAGAACAAGTCCACATCATTTAATTACTGCATGTGGTTGGCTGTTTATGTCCTGATACATATGTATATCAGAGCATTTTAAACATAAAAGGAAAAAATGAAATTTTAAAAAAGAATAAATTATGTGATATGAAAACTTGGTTTTATTTTGCAGTCCTTGTGTTTCACACTGAGTAATAGGCTTCCCTACTGTGTGCACATGTACTTCTTCTGTGTATATCATTATTAAATCATGATGAGAGCTTTACAGAGCTAAATGTCTGCCCTTTTGGAGTAATATGAACTGTTTTGACATGTAAACTACTTAGAAGGCGAGCAGAGCTTTCGTAAGGGAAGCATTATTAATGTGATATGTAGTGTTAATTTGTTTTGAGATTTGAAGTAGAGCTCACCAATGCTTTTGCACTCTTGAATAAACTTGAGTTGGAATGAAATACAATTAAACTTTATTAAATGGTTTTGTCTTATAATTTCAGTGGCCGAACTGGAAAAATTCGAGTGCAGTCCCTGAAAATTGGCTTGATCTCTCTCTCTAAGGGCCTTCTGGAAGAGAAGTACAGATGTAAGGAAGAATGTATTTTATAAAATGCTTACTTTGTATAATTAAGTCCTCTACAATAACAACACCCATTGTAGAAAAATTTGTAGGAAAACATTTCTCATGTTTGTACCAAGATGGTTTTCTTGTAAGTAAAATAGAATTGTTGTTTTCATTATCAGTGACAATGGAGAAAGTAGGTTATATGTATCCTGACTGGAAACTATTGATGTCAGTTATGCACCATCATAACGTACAGTATTGCACTTTCCAAAAGCAAAGGAGAGTGTAGCTGTGTGGAGGCTGGAGATGTACTCTGACTGATTCTCTTCTCGTGTGTGTACGTACTGTTTAGAGAAAAATCAAGCAAGGCAACCTTGATTGAAACAGGTTGATATGTCTGATAAAGCAAGAAAAAACATGACAATCCAGCAGTTGTGTTTTATGGTCTATGAAAAAGATGATCTGAACTCTTAAAATAGTTTTCCAGTATCTGTGCTTCCTGTCAGAATTGTACAATGAAAGTTTAAATTATGTTGATTTAAGTAATCTCACAATCTTGAGAAATACTGAGTGGTATAAAAATATTTCCCAAAAATAATTGCAGGAGCAGAAGGGAATTGCATAGCTGTAGCAAAAGCCCCTGATAAATACAGAACAAGAGATTAAGCACTATGTAAGAGCATTGTACGTGACAGACACTTATATGTTGTGCACATCATCTTAAAATTATTATTCTTTGCAGCAGTTCCTTGACACCTTTCAGAAACACATGTAAAATATAGAGAGACTGTATTTGCTCTGTACCATTGGAGCTCTGCAACAGTTTCTGCTTTCCTTAAAAGCATTTTTAGGTAGTCTTGTAATCTCAGTTATTAACACTGAGCAAAACTCCAGGTATCTAATGCATTAGGGCATCTTTTGGCATCTGAACTTGAGCCCATCCTAAGACTTTAGGTTTTTTATGTTATTTGACATATCTGTAGATTAGTCCACAACTGAAAGGGCTTGGCAGGCATACTTTTGTTCAGTAATGACAATTCATGAGGTAATCTGCCATTTGGTGTGACACAAAAAGTTTTCACAAAGTATAGGAGTTAGGCTGTGGGTAACAGAATAATAACTCTACCAAAAGATGGTTTAAACAGCCCCAAAACCTGGGAATAAACTCACATTGTGTTGTTGTCAGTAGTGAATTAGTATGCTTACAGTTACTGAACACAGACACTGAAGCAGAGTGAGGAAACGACTAGGTCAGATTCATGTTTACGCCGTTACATTGCGTCTGTAGCAGCTGAGAGTGGCTGCAGATTTGTGTAATCTGTGTTAACAAGTTGGGCTTTTTGCTGAAGATTGTCATGAAAAGCCCTAAAAAAGAATCAGCGTAAAGTCTCAGGAGACTTTTGTAACAAGTGATCATAACTTCAACCTAAAATACGTCTGAAATTGAAATAGTTGCTCGGCCTCTCAAAGCAGAGAATTACTAGTCAGATAACGCATCCTTCATTGTTGTTACTCCTGTTCTGATCAGTGGGGCAGGGTTTGATATCTTTATTGTCGCCTTTATTGTCCTTGGGAACCATACAATTGTCACAAAACAAAAGTCCTCAGTCTGAAAGAAATTTTGTGGAAGAAGGAATTAAGTAACAGTGTCAAGTACTGGCTGTTGGCCTGCAGTGGCGATGCAGTCAGCGTTTTGGGGTCCTCTGGCCCCAGCTGTGTCACAGGCTGATCTTTGGTGCAAGTTCTCTTGCTTGTTTCACTTTTGTCACACCCTAATAATCATCTACTGTTGAGAGAAATTTTGTCATAACTACTGAGCTTTCAGATCCTCAGATGAAAACAATAATGGAAATGCCTTTTGGGGATTAACATGAAGAAATATAATTTTGGGGCTGCTGAGACAGTGACTTTGTGAAATAATATGATAAACTGACAGCAGACGATAATTTCAGTTTACCATTACAATTGACCTTCATCTTTTTCTCTTTATCTTTTTCTTCTTTTTTCTTTTTTTTTCTTTAATTTGTTTTACCAGCCACATTTAGTCACATTCATTTCCAGTAAAAATAAGGATTTTCTTAATTGTATGTTCATTTCCAGTATACGTAGGATCTTTTCACTTGACACATTTTAAAAAAATGTTTTCCAGACAAATTTCTGTGTTTGTTTTTCTTCTTATTATTATTATTATTATCATCATTATTATTATTTAATTAAGCTTCTTTTTTAGATGCTAGACTTCAGGGTTGATGTGAGAATGACTAATTTAAAAAGCCGCCATTACTTTAGAAGAACCATTGAAGCCACAATTAAAGAATACCTATTCTTGAATATATTTAAAGACATGCTTAACTCCAAGCACATGCCTGGGTACTCCTGTGAATAAAAATGGACCTGCAAATGTAATTGGGTTGCTGTGAGCTGGTTACATCTGTGCTTGTAGGGCAAATAGTCCAGGGCTTCTTGTCTGTTCATGATGCTAACGACCTGATCTGGCTGTGTCCATATTATGCTCTCCTTTCTTCTCAAAGCAGGAGGGGCATTTGTGAGCTACCTGTTGGAAATGATCCTTGACCCTACCTAAATCTCACATCATCTTGGCTGTTTTGGGGATGAGACTTAGTCGGCTTTGATCAAAAGCATAATGGATACACTTTTAGCAGCTTAATGCTGCAAACAATAGCATTCTAATATTTGAATGTACATGCTGGATAGAATTACCCTTAAAAAATGGAAAAGATGGGTAAAAAAAAAAAAAAAGGGATGCATATGGCAAAATATAATGCTAGTTTAGTTCCAAAATACTCAGAGCACAGTAATCAAAATACCATTTCTTTTTACCACCAGTTCTTCATACAGTTGTTCACCATTAGCACAGGACTTCTGAATACTGTGGGGAAAATGAAACATTTTTAAACACTCAATTTTAGTGTCACAAATGTTCTTGGAAGGTAAATTTTAATCATATCAGTTTGCAACAGTAAAAAATTTAATTTGCCTGTGTGATTATTCACAGCAGGTTTTATGCCTAGTCATGCAATCAGGAGACAAACGATGTCTCAGAGGTATGGATTTCCCAAGGA